GACAACAAAAAAAGCAGACTGTATTGATGATTACCTTCTGCTCTAGGGCTGATTCTAGGCTCTTTATTTGCAACTCTGAACGCTTGATGGCTGCCCGGAGAAGAGTGACCTCGCCCTCGGTGTTCCGTTTGACTTGCTCTGTTTCTTCAGCCACTCTAGAAGATGGGAAAAGTGCATGACGGAATTGCATAAGGAAGAAGAAAGACAGAAAACTGTTAGGACGAGCCTAACAGGCAGATAGCATGCAGCAAGCAGCCACGCAAACAGCAGGCTATCGATCGGCCTACACGAGGCGAACACATACTGGTTGTCAATCAATCAATCAATAATTCAAATTTTAAGCTGAATGCCAGAAGCCGAGTCACAGCCAATCCTGTCGGTAACCAAGCCAGGACAGAAGCTGATTGGCTCGATGGACCTAGCTTACTTTTGTTTGTTGCCCTATATGTGTTGTACCCATTACACTCAAAGACTTCTGTTGTTGCGCTCTTCTTGTCGTGTTCTTCCTTGGGGGACTCACACAAGGGATAATCAGGCGGTGACATCTCGGCCTTGGCTATCTTTATAACAAAAACGAGTTTGCAGGGCAGTAAGATGGGAAGTAATGGGACGCAAAACGTTTGAACAGCGTAACCGTTCGGAGGTCATTGAGGGAACCAGGCAAAAGGTTGAGCGAACATCCGATTGTAGGAAGTAATTTTGTTAATTTGTGGACTGGTCAGTCCTATGCCTGTAAATTCGGTCAGTTTAATTAAATTACAGGTGGAAAGACAAATAAATAGACAATATGGGCAAGTCTAGCGCTCAGAGAGGATCGAAAAAATGCCACCCTAGTGTAAGACTAAAACAATTAAGACTTCGATTGGTCTAGGTGCAGGTTAAAGAGAAGGATGGAGGTTATAATGGACGGAAAACGGTGGAGATTGGTAAAGTATTGGGAGGGATGAGGGCGGTGCAGCTAACGACGACGTAGATCAGGGTACGGCAGGCGTTATTCGGGTTGGGCTCCGATAACAAATATCGAACGTGGGGGGAGGGAGGGGCGCGGTGGCACGCATAGGGGTGGTTTCGGCCGCGACAGCCACCTGCGCCCGATCCCGCCTCCAGTCTTCTTGACTCTGATTTGACACCGAGCACA